GGATGCTCTTGTCACACACACACCAGGATGCTCTTGTCACACACACACCCGGATGCTCTTGTCACACACACACTCAGGATGCTCTTGTCACACACACCAGGATGCTCTTGTCATACACACGCCCGGATGCTCTTGTCACACACACAAGGCTATTCTTGTCACACTCACATTCAGATGCTCTTCTCATGCTCACACACACACATACAGACTCACACACACATACACTCACTCCTCTACTCTCTACTATCCTCCGATGGTAAACTTTTGTCTCCACAGCTCTTGTGGGCACAGAGGGGAAGGCCAGCCTCTGGGCTGCGCCCTGAGGTCAGGGGCCGGCATAGCTGCCAGGGGCCATCCCTGCTCTGGCCATAAGTGCTCCTGGGGGACCGCATGTGACTGCGGTGTATGGGGGATGGCACATGTGACTCAGACTGGGTGTGACCCAGGGCCGCGTGTGACCCTGTGTGTGGGCTGTGTGTGACCGTTGCGCTTTTCCTTCCAGTTCCTGATTCACTGTGAGGGCACTCGGTTCACGGAGAAGAAGCACCAGATCAGCATGCAGGTGGCCCAAGCCAAGGGGCTGCCCAGCCTCAAGTACCACCTGCTGCCACGCACCAAAGGCTTCGCCATCACTGTGAGGAGTTTGAGAAATGTAGGTAAGGAAGAGCCCGGTATCCCCCACCCCCTGCAGCAAGGAGACCGCACCCCAGCACCCCAATCTGAATAGCTCTCCCCTGGCAGCGCTCCCCAGCTGATTGTGGCTGGTAGCTAGGAGGGCAAACAGAGCACAAAGGATGGTTAGCTAGGATCCAGGCTGCTGCCTGCTGGCGCTCTCTCTCTCTCTCTCTTACACACGCACACACACACACTCACTCATAGGCACTCACACTCCCCCCACACGCACGCTTAGCAAACACTGCCCTCTAATGCTCAGCACTGGAACTGCAAGGCTGTGGTGACCTTGTGGAATCCTTGGGTCCTCCCTCCCCTGGGTCCTCCCTCCCCTCCCCGGGTTCAGCCTGACCCCACACCTCTTTAGCCCAGAGTTTTGGCGTCGTTTTGCTTTGTTTGGCATTTCTTGCCCATGGGTTGGCCCCAGCTGCCTCCAGCTGATGAACTCCGGGACCTTACCCTCTGTGCCCGCTGACCCCCTGAGTCTGGAGCCCTGAGCCCTGGGTCCCCGAGGGTGAGAATCAGAAAGCAGCAGCTTTTGTTTTCAGTCTCTTGTCAGGACTCTGTCTCATCTTAAATCCTCGGCCCTTCGGTCTGGCAGCGCGAGCTTTGCTCCTCGTTCTCACGGGCAGCCCGCCCTCCTCCCAAACACCCACCTTCCTCTGGCCCCACGAGGCCCGGGGGAGGCCGGGGGGAGGCCGGGAGGGCGGCGGGCCTTGGGCTCGGGGCAGCTCCCAGGTCGCACTGGTGTCCCCCACGTACCGCCCCCCTCCCCCCGGGGCCAGGCGCCGCCCTGGCGGGAGTCGGGCAGCCGGTCCCCCAGCTTCTGTCCGCATATGGTCGTCTGTCTTCGCACCCCCAGGTCTCCTCTCCCTCTTGTGAGCCAAGGGATCTGAGCGGCGGGCGAGGGGTCTCCTGCGGCGCTGCCCGCACGCGGGGCCGCGTGTAAACCCGCCTCCTCTGGGCCCGCTTGAGCCCATGGCCGTGAACCCGCCGGGTAGCACGCCCGCAGGAGGGGGGGCCACCCCGCAGGTGCCCCGAGATACCCCCCCCCAGCCATGCCCTGCAGCCCCGCCCGCCGTCCCAGCTGAGCCAGGTTGCCTCCTGCCGGGACACCACCCTGCGAGTCCCCCGCAGCCCCGCCTCCCGCGCAGCAGCTTGCGGCTCTGAGCTCCCTCTGCTTGGCCTCCCAGCTGTCTGCGCTGCATTCACTCCAGAGACAGAACCGGCCTGTCACGGAGCTCCCGGCGGCCCCTGGCCCACCTGACCCCAGGGACCCCGGGCGGAACTCGCCGGCCTGTCCCCTGGCCCTCTTCCGGCCTTCCAGGCCGCAGCCGCTTGCCTCCTGCACCGCCCAGCGGGGTCCGAACGAGCCGGGAGACCCGACCCGAGTGCCGGCTGTGGGACCCTGGGCGCATCAGCTCGCCACACTCTGAGAGCCGCAAAGAGGGTTACAGGAGAAAACAGGCAGAGGACTCCGCCTGAGGCCTGACACTAACATTCGGTCAAACGTTGGCCTTGGGGAGGAGCTGCCCTCTGAGCCTGCTCGCCTCACCCTCGCCCCCGGGTGGGGGTGACCCGCTTCTGGGTCTGGGTTTCCCGTGGGTTCCGGCCACGGCTGAGCTTGGCGGGCTGGCGCAGCAGTGCAGGCCACCCGGCCGGGCAGGCTGCGGCCCCCTGCCCCGGAATAGCGGCCGGCCCTCCGAGGGCGCTTCGGATTCGCCCCCAGGGCTAGCTCGTCCCACCTGGCATGGCCAGATCAATGAAGGAAACTTTGTTTTACTTCTAGTATACAGATGAGGAAGTTGGGGCTCAGAGAGAATTTAAGGAACTTACTTGGAGTGGCTCAGCTAGTACACCGAGGCTGGGGCTCATACCCAGGCTGCCCTCTGGGGGGGCGGTGAGGGGGGGCAGGGGCTCTCGGGCTCCCCTCCTTCTCAAGGGCTTTGCAGGCAGGTGGATTTCGTTGGGCCATTTTATCACTTCAAGACACTGTTCTTGGGGTTGCCCCTCTGGAAAAGGAGGGGATTGTGCAAATCATTCGTTTTTAGGCTGTCCTCTGGGGAACCCCTGTGGCTGCCCCCCCACCCCCGGTCCTTGATTGACCAAAGTAACCCCACTTCTGTTGTATATACATCAGGCTCCTGTGTAAGAGCCAGCCTGAAGGAAGGAGGTTGGAAACCCACTGAACTACATGAGCCCCGTGACCCCTTCTTGCTCTCAGACCCTATGACCCCACCGGCCACACCGCATAGAGCCTGAGTGCCTTTTATTATAATGCCTGCCAAATGCAACATGGAGGTTGTTCTCCACCAGCCTCACTCTGCGCATGGAGAGTGACGCCTCCCCCCACCAGGGAGACAGCCAGCCTCCAGGCCCAGGACAGGAAGGGGCGGTGGTCTAGCTTGCTGGGGGTTGGGAGCTACCCCCGGGGCATTCCTGCGAGCCAGCAGGAGAGACCCCCCTCTCCTCACCTAAGACTAACGAGCTGCCAGCACGCCTCCTGCAGACCCCACCCGGCCGCCAGGCAGCAGGTCGAAGAAAAGGGACAGTGGTTTTCTGATTTTTGACTCTTGGTTCTTCCGTATCCCCAACTAGACCGAGAGGACCCTCCTGTCATCCACCCGCTTTATGCATAGTAACTGCACATATGCCAAGCTCTCCATAAAGTACTGGGCTCACAATCTATTGTCACGGCGTGCCAGGCCCCGTGGGAGGTGCAGACTTTGGCCAGCTCAACAAGCCCATGAGGAAGGCATCGTGGGTCCCCTTCTCCAGGGGGACTAGGTTCAGGGCAGCTGAGTGGTACGTCCAAGAGAGGGTCCCCCAGGCACCAGGCCGACTTCAAAACTCGTGTTCTTTCTGCTGTGCCTACTGTCTACTGTCTGTCTGCACGCTGTATCTCTGCTCACTCACGGTCCTTCATGCATTCTGCATCCCTCCACGCACTGAGCAGTTATGGGGCCTGGGCCAGGCCCTGCGGCCCCAGCAGTCCATGCTGACATAACTGGCTGACAGGTCAGCTCACTGTTGGGCAGATGCACTGACATCACACATTCTTTGCTTCTTAGCCACGTTTCAACGGACTCTACTTCAAGTCCTTAAGATGTCTCCAGCATCTTATTCTAGTTTTGTAGCTACGTTACTTCTCTAGGGCGAGAAACACTCGTAAAATGGTTATACTGCCATGAACTCAGACGCATCCTTAGATAGTATGCTCTAGACTGACTGATCTTATGACTGATACCTGTCTAGATATTGTTGTAGAACTTCTAGATGGGACACTGCAGTATTGCTTTGAACTGTTCTGACCTCAGTAATAACTCTGTTCTCAGTTCCTGAGTTGTAGTGTGCTCTTCTGGTTACAAAAGGTGATGTGTGTTCAATGTAGGGCGTTCGGACGGTATAGAAAAGCATGAGGAAGAACCCACTCATCCCACCATCCTGAGATAACCAGTTAGCAAATATCATTATTGTTTTCCAATGTGTGTATCTACAAAACAAACTTGGGTTCACACGCTATATACTGCTTTGTATTTATTTTTTTATAGTTTCAGCTGTATATGACTGTACACTCAATTTCAGAAATAATGAAAATCCAACACTGTTGGGGGTCCTAAATGGGAAGAAATATCATGCTGATTTATATGTCAGGTAAGTTGGTTCCATTTCCTTTCCAAAACAGAGAGCGCCCATCAGAGTAATTAAATCACAAATGGTCTACAGACCTCTTTCCAGGGAAGTCTGTTTCATATTTTCTTGTCTGCCATGTGTAATGAAATGAACTTCAGTCTGTATTTATATTAGGAACTGAAGACACACAGCGCTGATGTCAATAATCAGGGAAGCCCCTACTTTCTAATTCTCTCTGACCAACTCGTACTCATCATAGAGCTCAGGTTGAACAGACGGAAGATAGTATTTTAGAGTCATTTTGAGACTGAGTGTGAAGAGATTATTTTACTGACCCCTTTTCTTGGAGGATGTGTCTGCTACATACAGATATACACAGATAAGAACACGTATAACTAACTTATAGGGAGGTCCAGAAACAAATGGAGAACATTTTAGCAGTATCTTACTTATGTGTTATATCCCAAGCTATTATGATTTTACTGAAAAGATTTCACAAGGTATTAGACAAACCCGTTCTCTTGGCCCGCTGTATCAGCTTACAGAATGGGGCTCACCCTGGTCTTCTGCAATGTCATCGAGATGAACGGGAAACAATTGAGAGATACTGCAGACAGTAAAATACAGCGGGGACTCACACATAAAACCCAGCACGACAGGGCTAAGGGGTGGCACTGGTTTCCTTCGCACTAGGTTGTCTTCCCAGAAGGCTAACCAAGATGATCCGACGTGCCCGCTCTTGGAGAACTAGCCAAGTGTTCTAGAACATTCTGATTACTTTTTAAAAAAGACCTTACAGATACTAAAGTACGACAACACAGGACGATGTAAATTCAGTGGCTGATCATCACCACAAGGCTGCAAGAAGGGCTCAGACCTTCCAGGAGAGATGTTTTGATGGACTGACAGCCTGAATTAAATAGCTTCCTAGCTGGAGAGGACTTTGGCTCCCCCTTACAAATAGGAAAGAAGCATCCTAATTATTCCTGTTGCCTAATGCCACAGCGGACAGTCTACCTTATTCCGCAGTTGAAGGCAGATGAGGGCAGGAAAACCAACCTTCAGGAGGGAGGCCTTCTCCCAGGAGTAAAGGAGGCTTTGCCCCCTGAGCTCCATCGACACCTGGCAGGAGCCCCACTCAGTGGCCAGCTGGGCCCCAGGTGTCTGGGGAAACCTGGAGCACTATTCGAGATCATTGTACCCACTAGGCTGCCTCTCGGGTAACTGCTTCTCTGGAGCACATGTAAGGATGAGGTGTAAACAGCCGAAACCATACCACGTGGGCCTGCAGAACCTGGTGCTCTCCAGGCCTGAGGGCAAGACCGCGCCGCTCCACACACTTCTCCTCACGGCGCAGGTCCCCCTCGGAGGGGTACAGGCTTTCTCATGCTTTACCTCAATGCAAAGTATTAAAACGGGAAGGGCAGGAATGTCAAGGAAGTTCTTGAAAAGAGCGAAAGGGCCTTAAACGCCTACTATCCAAATAAATAGTAGGCAGGCTCCCTGTCCTTTTTCAAGAAACACAGTTAGACATCTGGTTTCCAAACCAGAGTGAGCCAGAAAGAGCGAAGGAGTCGGTATTCGTGGGAGGACGTGGAGGAGTTTACGGGGTGATTTTTCATCATGTGAAAACTTAAGCCCCGTACAGTACCACCTCTAAGATGGAATCCCACATTCTCTTAACAGGCTATAGTGTGACGGATACGTCCTAAAAATGTACCTTATGACTAAGGTAGTCCTGAGCCAGAGAGGGACGTGAAGCCACCCATGGCTGTCATGGGGGACGCAGAATTTCCTGCGCACAACATCGGGGTGAATAAATATGCCTGGAGGTCACAAAAGCCAGCAACCTGCAGACAGACAGAACTAGATCTGCAATAGGGTAACAGGAAATGTGGTCCACTGAACCCCCCCCCGCCTTGCTCAGGGCGGCTCTTGGCAGGTGGCCCCAGAGCCACCCTCGAACCTCATCCACTTCTGGTGAGCAAAGGGCCACGGGGCCTGACCAGGTCCCCTGCTTTCTCCATGTTCCCCAAGATACACGGCCTTCTATTTGTCGAGACCCTTGCAGCACATCAGCCTCCGCACTGTCCAAGAGGCCAAAGCAGTCACTGGATGGGAGACACTTCATTCACCATTGTATGAAGTCATTACCCAGCGGGGAGAAGCACCAGCGTGGTATCAGCTACGTGTAGACTCTGTGTTATGTCGGATTATAACAGGTGGCAAACGGGGCAATACTGCCCTCTCTCGGACAGGCAAAACCCCAGGTGTTTGGAGCCTCTCCGTGAGGTCGGGAGGGAGGATAGGGAGAGACAGGAGTCCTCGGCTGACACCGCCTGAGTCCCCGAACCTGCTGGAGCAGACCCTTCCTTCAGGGACCAGCACTGCATCTGGGCTGGATCTCCCCAAAATGGGTATGAATTTCTGCCTGTCAGTTGAATTGCCGTCCGCACATCCACAAGACCCAGGCTCCCTCAGTAAAGCCTGGAGATGTCCAGCATTGTTATGAACCGTGGTTGGGGCACCAGCGCTGGCCGCCTCCCTACCAGCTGCTCTCTGCTTTGCAGGCGGATTCCTCTAGAAGAAGTCCCCGAAGAGGAGGACGAGTGTTCAGCCTGGCTCCACAAACTCTACCAGGAGAAGGTCAGTGCAGCGGCGTGGCTGTGCGGGATCCCAGGACCCGTTTCGAGGGGCAGCTGTGGGTGCACTGTGGGGGCCCTGGGATCCGATAGTGGCGACACCCCAGTTAGCAGCCACGCTGGGGCTGATGCTCTACTTGGCGGGGGGGCGGGGGAAGAATAAAGCAAAATGGGTTTTAAGGGGGCTTCATGGGAAGGATGATGGGTGTAGTGCACAGAAAAGGAAGTGATGGCCCCCAACAGCCCGTGTCTACTTAGCAAAAGTAGCCTCTGGTTCTTGGGGGGTAGAGTGTTCTTTCAGCGATGCGGACGATCCCGATGGCCTCGGACCTACAATGTGGCTGCCTGTAGGGTCTCAAAACCGCGAGCACAAGCAAGATGGAGGCGTGCAAGACTCCGCCTCTGCTGGGTTTGCTCTGGCCCCGTGCCCCCCGCCTCCTGGGTGTGCTCTAGCTCTTCAGCAACCCCCAGGCCCCACCGCCGCGCACACACCTTCTTTCCTTTCCCTGAGCAGGGCCTTACCTTTCTTTGGGTTCTCTCCTCAGACACCCGGGCAGGGGGCAGAGGGAGTCGCATTCTTAAGGCCCTAATTGCTTGATCTTATGAAGGAGAAAAGGTTAGCACCCACCTAGTGAGGAAGGTGTTTTTATGACCAAGTCTCGCTGCCCATAGAGACTTACTTCTGATTCATCATACATTTTAAGGCCAAACCAGCCTAGAATCGAGTACACTGAGTAGGACACTGACTTCCTGGTGCCGAATTCCATAAATACAGACCGGTTGGCACGTGCTGTCTTTTTCTCCCCACTCCCCTAGGGGAGATAATCACACGGACCTTTATGGGCTGTCCGCTCCAGTTGGATAAGCATTCTAATCCTTCCTTTGAGAATGCGTTTTGGCCCCAAAGACCCCCCAGATTACCACCATCGGATTAAGTAGAGATTTCTTACAAATATGGTGTTTGGTGATCAAGATCCTGATACTCTCACAGCAAGAAGTCACTCCTGTGTTCCCAAAAAGTCACTTTTGCAGAACTTGCCATTTTGGGGTCTTTTCTGGACGGGTTAGAGGGATAGGCATCCAGTCTCCTCTTCCAAACAGTACACAGGGACCTGTCACAGAGCGGGGACCGTGCAGCCCCCTCAGCCTCGGAGATTCACCCCATAGGTCTGAGGGGACCTAGAAATGCGTATTTCTAAGAGGCCGCCTCAGACACATGGCCTGCAGGCCCATGCTTGGAAACGTACTGTGGATGCTTTTAAACTGGGCCTGGGCCTGACAGGAACATGCAAACGATATATATTCTTTTCCTCTGGTTTCACGCACGAGGCGGCATTTTTCCTTGTGCCGTTTTCTGGTTTAATCATCTGGGCGGTATACAACATGTCACTATTAGCGAGAAGAAAAATGTGCTAAGGCCTTGGAAAGGAATGCCTTCGTAAAGAACCACACAAACAAATCTAACAAACGCAGGCCTCAAACCCACCAAAGCAAAGGAGGTTTTTCTCCATGGGCCCGTTCTCTGCTGTGTTGAGGCGGGAGACTTGATGGCCATTGTGTGAACCGAACCACTTGGGCGTTCAGTGAAGAGCCACCTCTCCTCCCTGATGAGGTCTCTCCGGAGGCTTTTCTCTAAACTACGTATGCATTAAAATGATAGGGTTCAGTTTGGAAGGGGTTCTCAAAATGATCATCTGGTGCAAAGCCCTTAGGCTAGTGATGGGGAAACTGAGGTCCAGAGAATGACATGCCCAGCTCCCATCTCCCTACGGGCCATGTCTGTGAGCAGACTTGGGAGGCTGCTCCCTTTCCCCAGAGGGACCACCTGAGCAGTGAGCAGGAGGGGTCAGCGGTGCCCCCAAGACGAACTGTGAACAGACGGGAAGGAACCCCAGCATTCTGTCGTTTCTGTGGCAGCCCTGTCCCCTCAGGAGCCTCGATGGGCCTGGGACTTTATGTACCAGAGATCCTGGTGCCCCACCACGCTTGCCAAAGTGGGGTTCTGTGTTAAGCGTCACCTTTCAGACGTATGGTGTTGGAAGACAGTTCTGCTGACCTCAGGGCAGCAATTCTCTGGCTGTGCTTTCACGGACAAGTAAAGTGTCTGCAAAGTGCGGGAGGGGGTGCTGGGCGGCCAAACAGGGACGTGGCAACGTTTCATTCTGTTCAGGCAGGAACATAAAAAGAAATCCACTATCTACCACTGCCATTTTAACACTCTCAAGTAGGAAGGGCATCATCTCTGAAAAGGGGGCCATCCTTTAAGTGGAACAGATTTAGCATTTAGAAAAGGCACAACGCTGATGACCTGTCAGCATCCAGGACCACGGCTGGCTGCAGGGTGGGGGCTCCGGGAAACCACCCATGCCCTCGCGTGATCTCTTTGGGGACAACGGCAGCGCCCAAATCGCTTTTCCCCTGAGCCATCATGGTTACCCCATGATATGGTTTGAACCAATTCTGACTTTTCACTTCTGACTTAAGTTCCTTCCTTACTCCCCTGGCTGACAGTCTGAAGTCTGCTGAAGGGATGAGGAATTAGCCATTGATGGTGCACGCTGGAAAGCGGGTGAAGGAAGCGGCGTTTGAGCTGTCCTGTGGGTGTGTAGGGTCCACGGGGGCCGCGGTTGGGGGCTGCTCTGTGTGGGGTGCAGAAGCCAGCAGGAAATGTTTCAAGCACAGGAACGAAGGGTTTTCCACGCTGGCGATGGCTTCTGCACGGAGCCCGAGGGCATTGCTCCTTGGAGTGGCGGCAGGATCTCCGGCTTGGCCCCATGGTGCAGTCCTTCGCACACGACACGCTCCGGCCTGAGGTCCGTCTGCACGGGGAGCGCTGTCCTCTGAAGGGTCCCCCCCGCCCCGGCCTGCTGACAGAGGGGCCGGCTCTGACTTCCTGTCCCTCTCTTCTCTGCTCTTTCCTCTTCCCCTCCCTCCCTCCTCTCTCCCCCAGGGACTTAGCAAAGACGTTTCATTTTGCGGAGCCAGCCGGTCCAGCTCTTTGAGGACGGCCTGGCCTTTGGTGCCGCCTCTCGGGGCTTTGGTTACGTGCTTCAGACTCTGACAGCACTCAGGGGTTTGCCCTTTGTCGGGAGCATCTCCCCCTTTAGACTTCGGGGTTAAGATTTCTTTCTGGAAACAAACTCCCCTTTCACTAAATACGTTCCCCAATTCCAACTTATCCTATGCCACGCGATGCTAACAGATGGCAACAAAAAATGGAAGCATCATTAACCCAGGCCATCTCCCCGTGGGGCAGACTTGATTGCAAAGGATGTGACACGGCCAGGAGGGGCCAGGAACGTTCTGCTGCTGGAACAGACATCGGGCCCCGGCCAGGCGCTCCCTGTCCCACCCTGCAGGGTCACAGAGCCACAGCGACACCCCTGGGAGGCCAGCAAAGGCTGCGGCACCAGTCATTGGGGGTAGTGAGGGGTCTTGGGGAGAGATTCAGTTTTCTAAGCAAAACAGAAAAAGAAAACTCTGGAGTGAATGAGTTCGGACCCCTAGGAAAGGGGGTGCTTTTTTCTCTTGCTGGAGGCACAAATAACTTTTGGCTTTAGCAAGTGTCTTCCTGGCCCGAGACAGGAAAAGCAGACCGGTTCCCCGAAGAAACATCACCTCAATAAAGCTGTTTTTTAAAGGCGTGGAAGTACGCCCTCCCGTCTCAGTCCCATCAGGCTTCTATGTCAAAGAGCCAGAGACCGGGTGGCCTGTAAATCTCACGGCCTCGGGGGCCAGGCGATCAGGAGCCTGAGAGCGTCCCGAGCCCAGCACACTGGGGATTAGGCTCCCACATGGAGATTCCGGGGGGACATGAACATTCAGCCCGGAGCACCCCCCTTACCGAGTTATTGGGCTCCTGTGGCTGCACCCTGGGATGAGAAAAATCACCCAGGTTCGTGGCAGGCCTTGGCAGAGTGAGGGGCCCTCGCTCTGGGCATTGGACCGGTCACTGTCGCTTCCCCAGAGGTTGTCTGCTTCAGCCACAGGCTCTGGGGACTCATTTTAATAATGAACCTCCGTGGTGACAAAAGCATATTACTCAGTACATCCTGACTGGGGAAAAAAGAGAAGTATGGTGTCTTTTAGATTGTTCTCTCAGGCTGTTAGAGGGAGAAGTTCAGCACCCCGGGTGTAAGTTCCAGGTAGGTGGAAGCTCGTTTTCCAGGAAACTCGACTCTTTGGACAACTGGGACACCACCAGGCTCTGACGGGGGCCCCACGTGACCCAGAGATGGGTTTTGTTCAGCGTGCACGCTGTCAGCCCCCAGGATGCTTTCAGGATAGTTTGTTGCCAATATTTAGAAGCGGGCAAAGTCCCCGTGGCTGCCAGTCGCCGGCCCCCATGCCACACGGTGCCCAGGGATGGTGCTGCTATCCTGATGCGGGTCTCTCTGGCCCTGCTGCCCGTCGCCTGGCCCCGCAGTGTCACTCACTCCCACGGCCACCAAGCAGCACCTGGGGTCTCCCGGGAGCCGCTGGAGGGTGCTCGCTGCACAGGCCCGGCCTCAGGGCCCCCTGGTGCGCCCCGTGCCCGACCGAGACCTCTGCAAGCTCTTCGGTGACACACACACACACACTCGGGGACAGGCGGTCCCCTCATCCACGGTCTCAGTTAGCCGCGGCCGCTGGTGGTCCAGAAGCCGGGGTGTCCGCAGACAAGGGGGGGCCTCCTGTATTTTAAAGATTTTTTTTTTTTTTTTTAATTTATTGAGAGAGAGAGAATGGTAGAGAGAGAGCATGAGAGGGAAGGAGGTTAGAGGGAGAGGCAGACTCCCTGCTGAGCAGGGAGCCCAATGTGGGACTCGATCCCGGGACTCCAGGATCATGACCTGAGCCGAAGGCAGTCTCTTAACCAACTGAGCCACCCAGGCACCCGGGCCTCCTGTATTTAATCTCAGGTCGGGCACCGATGAGAGAAGCTGCTCCAACTTGTCGGGACAGGGGCCTACTGACCACCTGGCTGTCTCGACAGTCACTTCACAGAGCTGCTGGGCAGTGCCGTGCTGTCGTGGGTTAGGTGCAGGAGGGCGAGCTCATGGCTCTGCCCGAGGCTCAGGGTTCTAGTCTGTTCTGCGGGCATTCACTGAGGGCAGGTTCCGTGTCTAGTTCGTTCTCCACTGGCCTGTTCTGGGAGGCAGGCAGTACTGCCCCGCTTGCCGACCAGAAGCTGGGCCGCAGAGGCCAGCCACCCGACCAGAGGCAGGTAAGTACCAAGGAGCCGACGGACCCGGGCTGGCCTGGCACCAAAACTCAAGCTCCTACGCCTGGGCTAGAGGCAGAGCTGTGACGTCCCGCCTCTGTGTCACTGTGGGAAGGGGACGCCAAATTTAGTACTGGGAAGACCCCTCAGGCGCCTGCAAGATGCCGCTGGGGTGGTGCTGCGGGCCCCCCCCTCCCCGGTTCTACTGAGCTCACAGCGGCCCCCGGTGCCCCGGCAAGGGCCTGCACGAGCGTGGTGTCATGCACGAGCAAAGTGCCTCAGGGTCGCCTCTCTGTCCCCAGGATGCCTTCCAGGAGGAGTACTACAGGACGGGCACCTTCCCAGAGACACCCATGGTGCCCCCCCGGCGGCCCTGGACGCTCATCAACTGGTTGTTCTGGGCCTCCCTACTGCTCTACCCTTTCTTCCGGTTCCTCACCAACATGATCAGCAGCGGGTCTTCCCTGACCCTGGCCAGCTTCGCCCTCGTCTTCTTTGTGGGTAAGCAGAGCAAGAGCCCTGCCCCAGCCATGCTCCTGTGAGGAGCATCTGACAGGGGGACAGGAGGAGGCAGGAGGGCGGGTACAGTCGTGCCGGGTGCCGGGTGTCGCAGCGTCTGGGAACAGGAAGCTCAGCCTGCAGACGGACAGGGAAAACTAGCTTGCAGGACTCACGGTCAAACACACCCAGAATCCCAGGCCTGGAGGAACTCACCTGTGGTTGCCCCCCCTGGGGCTCGGCGAGGCAGCAACCGCTCAGCTCTGCTCACTCTCATCATTCCTTCCCTCGGGGCCCAGCAGCAATGGGCAAAGGCCCCTGGCCAATCAGAGTGGGTCCCAGCCCCTCTGGGGAAGTGCGAGAGCTTCTAGAAGTCAGTGGCCGTATGCCCCGACATCGAATAGAAAGGTCTGGGAGCAAACCTTGCGTTAATCCACACTGGCTTCATTGACCAGGAGTTTCAGACTACTTTGGTCTCTTCAGAGCCCCAGGGTTCCCTGCACACTGCCGCTGGTCTTTGAAGTGAGGCAGCCGCGGGGAACTTGGTAGGATTCCCTGGGAGGGGCAGCCTCATTTCACGGCCAGCCCCTCTGGAACGGCCCCTTCCCTGGAGTCTGAGAAGGAAGCATCCTCCTTTGAGACTCTGGAAAGCACAGGCAGAGTGTGCCCTGCCTTCCTGAGACCAAGGGGACATGGCACAGAGTCAAAGCATGCAGTGATCTGTGTGCTTGTTTCAAATGCACATAGCTCAGTTATTCCTGCGGAAGACACAGGTGCTGACTGAATGCTCAGACTCCAACACATAAAAGTGCATAAAACTGGAAGTGTCTCAGGACAAAATTCCCCTTTGAGCTTATGCCCCAGAGATGAGTCATTCACAGTTTGGTGCACCTTCTTCTGGACTCAGACATTTATGCATAAATACATTCACACAGATGGACTGTCCCTAGTGCAGTTTTCACCTAATAAATTGTGACTACCTACACATGTCACAACACACAAAACCTATCTCATTCTTTTGGATCAAGCCAACCAATTCTAGACTGCAATAGGCAAATTGGCCGCTATTCCTAAAATAGATCCTATTGTCATCTTTTTTAAAATGAAAAATATATTTTAATGCTGAAAATTAAAATAATACCTGCTCTGTGTAGAAAAAAGAGAGTGCAGGAGAAAACTCGTTTCTAATAATTTAACTCCCCCGACACAGGCCAGAGGACGCCCCCCCCCCCCCGCCAGGGCTGCTGTGTGCTAGCCAGGTGCCAGGAGCTGCGGTTGTCGGGGTCCCTGGAGGGAGGGGAGCAGACTGAGCCTATCTGCCTTCAGTGGGGCTCCTTGGTGATGAAGGTGTGCAGTGCATGCCAAAACGGGGGCCGGACACTCTCCCTAGGAAACAGGGTCTCCGGGAGCTCAGAGGAGCTGACTGCCCTGAGCCCCACAGACTGGTGCCTCATCAGCTGTGAGCCTCACTACACTCTGCCCGGGATGTCGGTATTTGGGTCTCGTTCCCCTTCCCAGGCCTCTGAGCAATGGAGTCGATGTCTTACGCACCCCTTGGTTCTCTACAGTGTCATCACCGCCACTCCATGGTGGCTCTAATATTGGGACAGGCCCTCCTAGAACTGCCCGTTTGTAACTGGCCCAGGGGATACCCGGGCCTTGTCGGGCTGGGCTGCGCTCGCCCGTCAGCTCCACGTGTGTCTGAGGGACGGTTTGCAGACTACAATGCTCGTGCTTTAAAACACGTGCGTCGTGAGGCGGAGATTTCAGTTATCAGCCATTCATCCATTCCGAAATGTGTATTATGTGCTTGGTGCTGGGCTCCTCAGGGGACTCAGATGTGCTCCCTGCCCTGGAGGAGCTCACCGAGTCTGCCGTGTCCGAGACAGCAGCTTTGACTGCAGTGTGTGACCTCAGCCCTGTGGTCCAGCTTCCTGGTGGCTCCGCCAGGCTCTCATGAGGGTCGCTCCTGGTCTCTGTTTGGGCCCATCCTGCTAGGAGGCAGGGGCTTTTCCCCATTCACCACTCTAATACTTACCCCAAGAGCAGAGCTGGGCACTACATAGACATTTGGGCTCTTGCACTCTCCAGGTTCCTGGTAGGTTATCCAGCTTCGCTGAAGGGTGTTTTGTTAAGTTCCTGCCCTGCGTTCGCAAAAGCATCCTCTTTGCCTTGGGGGTCAGTATGGCAAGTGGGGAATTCCGTAAGCCTCGGGTACAGTGGAGTGTGGCTTAGCAACCTCGAAGGGTTGAAGGATTAAAACCCACCAGCAGAGCAGCCTCGCTCTGTTTGTTTTAATGTCACTTAGTCTGACGCCCGTGCTCCAGGAGAACTCCAGCGGGATTATGCCCTGGGCCCCAAGTTAGCCAGCGAGATCTCAGCTGCTGCTTGAGGTCTGCCGACAGCTGGCCTCCCCGCATTCTCCCCGGCAGAGGCCCCTGGAGGCTCCTAACTCCCCGCGCTTCCCATTTCTGCAGCTTCTATGGGAGTTCGATGGATGATCGGTGTGACAGAAATCGACAAGGGCTCTGCCTACGGCAACATCGACAGCAAGCAGAAACGGAGCGACTGACCCCAGACACATGAGCGCCCAGAGGGGCCCTTGGGGACTGGTGGACACTGCCAGCCACCCTTAGTGGGACCCGGGGACAAAGCAGGGCGAGCCCCTGCTGGGCAGGCAGTTCGGTCCCCATGCCAGATGGGGAGGAAGATGTTCTTAAATCTTCCCCCCCCCCCATAATGCTTAAGTGGGTTTTGATTTTCTTTTTGTGTGTGTGTGTGTGTGTGTGTGTGCGCGCGTGCGTGTAAGGGAACCATAATGCTTAAGTGGGTTTTGATTTTCTTTTTGTGTGTGCGTGTGCGTGCGTGTGCGTGTAAGGGAAAGGATACATATAAGTGAGAATGATGTGCGGTTGAGTGTGAGCCTTATTTTGTCATCATTCAGAGGGGATCTGAGGCACAGGGGGAGGGCAGGGATGGGGAACGGAGGGTTCCCCTTCATTCTTCGGTGCTGAGTTTTCTGTACTGGATTGCAAAGAGTGAAAGGCGCTTTAGGTAAGATGACTAAATTATGCCTCCGAAAAAACAATTAAACTGTTTGGCTCCCTGTGCTATGTGTTTCCACAGACGGCTCCATCCTCCCGTTCCGCCCTCTGCCGTTGTTCTGGGGTTCTGGAAGGCAGTGACCCAGCAGCGCTGCCCAGAGGGGGTGGAGTGGACTCAGCACACGGGGGGGTGGTGCTGGATGGGGCCCCCCTGGCCAGGTGCAGGAACCGGGCGGGGGGGGGGGCTGGTTAAGGGATACGGCAGGTGCTGGGGGACGAGCTGAGCACGTCTGTCAGACACCGTGAGAGGCCCTGTAAGGCAGCTTTGGTTTTCCCAATCTGCTGGCAATGGAGTCTCCCTGGCCCACATCTTGAAGAGGTGGCCAATTCCCTGAAGAAGCTGAATGGAAAAATAAAGGGCAGGCATCTTGCAGCCATTTGAGAAATGACTTTATGTGCACGGCTCATCTCAGTAGCAGGTAGAACCTGGGTCCCCCAAACCAATACAGGCTCGTGCAGGAGCCAAGGTACTCCTCTGAGCAGGGTCAGACTGGAGCAAACACCGGCGTATGAGGACCCCCTGGGCATCCACTTTTCTTCCGCGAAAGAGGGCTGCTCCTCGACCCGCGAGGCCTTCTTTGGAGTAAGGGCCACATGCAGGACCTCTGCAAACTGTGCCAGTCCACAGAGGCCACATGCACAACATGAAAGACAAGCAGTAATATCTCTGGCAGAAAACATTTAGCTACGGGACACTCTGTCCTCTCAGGCCGAGGCACTCATGGCACTCACACTGCTGGGGATTTAGGGGCACAAGAAGCAAGCAGAAGGCTTTCTCCCTGTGCACAGCTACACGCCGCCCGGGACAGAGTTCTTTGTCACTATGCTTACAGAAGGGAGAAACTGTTCCACCAAAAGTCGGGCATAATCTATTCAGAATCATGTTTTTAGAGGTTTGCTCATTTACTCACCAAGGGTTTCTTTCCCAAGCACAATGGAACCAGGTAAGCCAGGGAGTTAGGAAAACACCCGAGAGCAGCTCTCCCTGCTGAAGGGATAATAACGTACATTGACAAGAACTGCAGAAGCGAATAGAGAAACAGATTCTGGCTTAGCTGTGGGAAGGGAGTTTCGGTGAGGCCAGAGCCTGAGCCAACATTTGCAAGCATCCCTGAGAGCAGGGGTGATGAGCCCATGCATTTGCTCACCGTGCATCAGGCCACGGGTGGGTTTCAAACACAGTCTTCCCCCAGAGCAAAAAGAACAGAGATTTGTGGGCAAGAGCGCAGTGATGACCACTGCAGGCCCTGGGCGCAGCTCGGGCGCCCCTACCCGCGTTCCTGTATGTCCGCCTGCACCTGGATGTGGGGGCTGCTCTACGCCAGGGACTCCTCGCTCCATAGCAGAGCCGAGCAAGGCGGTCAGGGGGGTCAGTCCTGGCCGCAGCTGCGTGCCCCCCCCCCCCCGCCGCCCCAGGCCCTGGCACTCTGCGGCTCACTCGCGGTAAGCCCTTGGGTGAGCCATCTTATCTTGAGAGTCCCAGTTTCCCCATTTGTAAAATGAGGGCGATCATACCTGCCTCCTGGGTTGTTTCAAGGGTAAAATGAGGCCATATATGTGAAGACGCTTTAAGAATCCTAAAGCACTAAACACAGAAGGGATGAGAGATTAGAAAGCTGCCTCCGTGTTGCTACTTCGCAAAATGCTCAGAAACAACCCCGAGGTGTCCAAAAATACGTCATTCCCCCCACGAATATAGTGATTGAGCGCTAATAACATATACCCAGCCTTGGCCCTAGAACATAACATGCGAGCAAATGGAGGCTGCACACCAGCGCTGTGGGTCCAGGTCGGAGGAAGGTAGGCAAAATACTCCCCTGGGAAAAGAACTCATCAGCGCTCCTTCTCACAACTGCCTCAGGTCGCAAGAGAATGTGGTAGTCTGGGGACACATCCTGCCATCTTTTCAGCTGTTTGGCCCTCCCATGAAGAAGAAATTTGTTAGGAGGTGTGGGCAGCTGGTTTCCCTTCTGCCCCTGTTCCCGTAATGGCAGAGATGAGCACGGTGCCCTGGAGAGACTCAGCGCTGAACCCCCTAACCCTCCCAGGATATAGATTTCTTACAGAATTAAAACCCCATGGAGGTTAAGCCACCTGTAGTGAGTGCTAGTCCCTGGAAGTGCGTCATGGACAGAGAGCTTCGTGTCCTAACACTTTCATCTCATGGTAGCTTGGGTCAGCCCTGCTCAGAGCCGCTCGGAGATCCGACGTAGAAGAGAAAAATTTTCCTGCACTCTGGAGAGCGATGGCCACTTCCCAGACTTCCCTAAAGCTTTGAGGCAGGGAGTCTGACACACTTGTAGGAAACCAAGACCCCAGAGTGACTTTCTTTACTAAAAACACCAGCCATCCAAAATGCAGCTTGCAGTTGGGCAAGTGGACCGATTCGGTGACTGCTGAGTGGACAGGATTTACTGTGGAGGACGAACTAACACACTCTGTGAGTTAGTCTCTCACCTTGTTTCCTTTTTTTTCGAGAGAACACAACCTTTCTCCTGTGATCACATAGTAGTACTGGAGTTATCTCTCTCTCTCTTTTTTTTTTAAAGATTTTATTTATTTATTTATTTGACAGAGACAGACACAGTGAGAGAGGGAACACAAGCAGGGGGAGCGGGAGAGGGAGAAGCAGGCTTCCCGTGAGCAGGGAGCCCGACGCGGGGCTCGATCCCAGGACCCTCGAATCATGACCTGAGCCGAAGGCAGACGCCCAACGACTGAGCCACCCAGGCGCCCCTGGAGTTATCTCCTGACTGCTGTATTCTCTCTAAATAAATGCATCCAAAACCTTGTACAAGTAGCTACTGGTGTTTAAAAATTACACGTTAATCTTTTTCTAATATGCCTGTAAGTGGATCTGAACGACAGTGATTTAGATGTAAAATCCAATGATAATCAGCCAGGAAGGGTGATGTAGGAAGGGATGACATGACAGTCAACAAAAGGGGCCCTGGCAGCTTCTGGGTTCTCTCCTGATGGAGCCGAACAGTGGTCCGGCTGGCCCCCATGCAAGACAGATTTGGCTTTGCTGAGGCTTTAGGACTTACTCATAAATACGGACAAAAGGGAAAATTCTGCAGGGTACCTGTTCTCGACTCAACACGAGGTTTCATCCAGCTTGCCCCAAAGCACTGCTCAGACCGTCCCCGTATTTGCTAGGGTCAAGTGAGAAGAACAAATACCCCAGGGGCCGCCAGTTTCCGGAGCGACCACAGGAGGAATGTCGGTGCCGCGTGAGCTGCTGCTTGTGTTGAAAAGACCACAGGAGCCGGGGGGGGGGGGGACCGAGGCAGCAAACGGGAGCGAGCCCTGCGGGTGGGGGAGGGGGGGGGGGGCCAGGCTGCCCGCAGGGTGAGTCCCGGGTTCTGGGGCCTCGGGTCCCTCAGGCCATCCCGTTGGGTGGCCAGTGTTCCCCTCCTTCCGCAAGTGTGTCTTACAGCCTTAACTGAACCGGTGCTCACACGCTGCTTGCGGAGAATGAGGGGCGGCAAGGATAAGGCTCTGGCTGGCAGGCTGCTCATATTGCTGCCTCTTGTTCTCATAAATGCTCTTCCTCCAAACAAAAACGGTTCTGAAGTCTCCTGTTGGAATGAGACACGGGACTGCCTCGGCTGGGAAAGGACTTCCAGGTTTGGGGGCGAAAGCTGGCTCTCCCTGTGGGCTCAGTGCCGTGACACAAGGGTGTCCTTCCTCTCGGCCCCCTAGGAGACAGTCTGTAGCTGCTGCCTTTGTGAAATGGGAAGGCTCTTAAGACAATTGACTTTGGGTGGACACACTGGCCTGTGGAGCAGCCCCTCCCCCAGGGTCAAGACTCAAGGTCATTTGCTGCCTTTGCCAAGCAATCACTCAGGGCTGCCAGACCGGCCGCCGAAGCCCCTCGTATTGGGTTCTTCCCCACCCACAGAAAGATACGGCGGCTGTGCAGGTACGCGACTGGCTGCATTTTCTAAAAGCATCTTCAGAGATTTAATCAAAAAACATTTTTAAAACAATTTTTTTTTTTTTTTTTTGCCAGGATGAATGAAGCTCAACTTACTTCCTTGATCAACATGGTAGACAAGAGGGCAAGTCCCTTTTCAGGGCCAGCCCCTCTGCCCTCCGAAAGGAGCCCAGGGGAAAGCTCGGTCAGCACCGAACGCCCCAAGTAGCACAGCACCCGACCCATCAACCAGGAATGAACGACTATCCCAATGTCTAACGCACTCCACCACCCCACCTTGGGGTTTGAGCATTTCCAGAGTTTCCACAAATGTGAACAAAAACCAACCACTTCAGATGTTTCAAGGCTGTCTGTCCTAACACAACGGTCCTGCAGACTTGAGGGGACAGTAGAGGACCAAGCAGATTCCTGCTTCTCTTGACCCATGACATTCTATCCCCCTCGCAGCCTTTGTCACGGACAGGTAATGGGTCAGAAACAGAGTATCATAAACCTCTAACTAGCATAGGTCTCCTTCTCAGAGCGGCACCTCGGCGGGGCAGGGCTGGGCTCCGGGCCCCTCCGGGTACCGAGTCCCCAGGCGCGCTCCGCTCAGGGGAGGCCGACGAAGTGAACGGAGCACCGACTCAGGTGCTTCAGTAACTGAAATGGCCCTGCCTTCTCTTGATGCCCTTTCCTAAA